AATTCTCTCCTAGCTTAACCTGTACTTGTAAAATATTTACTGATGTTGTCCCAGGTTTAGTTAAGCATGGTTTGCAGATTGTTGCCATAGTTATCTGAAAACTGTATGTGTTAATCTACAAATTTTGACAATGATGACAGGTGGTTCGTGCTCAAAGACACTGGTAGTTAAATGTCCAGAAAGGAAGTGAAGACAGGAAAGAGCTAATGAACACTGAAAAGATGGTAAACTGAACGAACTGGCGGTGTCAACTAACTACCTCAGCACTCATATAAATGCTTATAGAGTCATATGAGTACCTGAACACTTATTTACTTAATCAAAGGTTAAAAGCTTCGAGAAGTGGGAAAAAGGCAGACCTGATCTGAGAATTCTGAGAACCTTAAGAGGAGAGAACTATTAGAATGAAATTAATACTACCTTAGTGGAGAGAACTATTAGAATGAAATTAAAGTCCACAGTAAGGAAGGCAGAGAGCAGACAGCATTGAAAGATACCTAAACAACAAGGTACTAAGTGTGAAAAATAAACAAGCTATAAGTAACACAAATAAAACAATCTAGAAAATGTGTGTTAAAATTGTGAGAATTGTAATTCACAGCATTGACAACGAAAGCTAAATGTGCCAGATAAACCACCATAAATGTTACCATAATGGAAAAGTTTTATCTGACATGGTTTAAGACACCAATTCTGAGACCTGCTTACAAGAGTTTCATAGGAAGCCAAAAGCAAGTAAAGAAAAATAACAAAAAGTAAAAACACAAACAAAAATTGGAGAACATGTATAAGAATACAGCTCAGCAATGACATTCATTTTAGTGGGGTTAGTTTGACTCACCAATGTAGCAGATTATTTAAATTGGCAACATTTTCATACTGAATAAGCTTATTCCATTTGATAAAATCTGAACTAAGAATGGAAAGGAAGCCTTTTCTTGCATATGATGTTTTGTTTGTTTGTCTGTTTGTTTCTTCCGGAGAGAGCGTCTCGCTCTGTCTCCCAGGCTGCGGTATATTGGCGTGATCATGGCTCACTGCAGCCTCAACCTCCTGGGCTCAAGTGATCCTCCCACCTCAGCCCCCTGAGTAACTTGGACTACAGAAGCAAGCCACCACACTTGGCTATTGTTTGTTAAATAGGGATGAGGTCTCCTTATGCTCCCCAGGCTGGTCTCAAACTCTTGGCCTCAAGCAATCCTCCAGTTATGCTGTTCTTTCCAAAGTACTGGGATTACAGGTGTGAGCCACTACACCTGGTCATGGTTTTAGTGTTTTTTATATTGATTATTAGCCAACCACAGGGACAAATTTTTAATAAATTGTGCTTATTTTGAAACATGTTTTAGTGACAAATGCTTTTATACCTAGTAAATATTTTGTATTTAATTTAAAAAGAGAGAGACAGTGAATATAGATAACTCCTTTAGGATCAAGGAAAAATATTTTTCGTTTGTTTGTTTGTGTTAGTTTTTGGTTTGTAAGAGAGTAGATAATGGTGCTATGAATGATTCAATAAGGAGGGTAAGCTAATTATTCAGGAAAGAGAAAGAACACAGGCAGGAATAGAACCCTTAAGTCTGAGGGGATAGAATCCACTACACCAGTAGAGAGGTCATCCTTCATTAGAAGCAGGAACCATTGCTTCTGATAAGAGGAAGAAGCTAACTCACATAGGTAAAGATGCAGTAAGTTGGTAGATTTGGTGTTGAGAGTGGGCACTTCTTATTGTTTTTAGTTTCTCTATGAAATGATGGAAAAGGGTATAAGCTGAGAGAAGAAAAAGGGATGTTTGACATGTGAAGAAAAGGGTGTGAGAGAATCTCCTAAGAAACATTACTGTGGGCCACAGTAGAAAGTGATCATGAATTTTATAAGAGATTATCTCAGCTGCACAGGTAAAGGTGTGAAGTAGATGAATAATTGAACTTCACTCAAGTAAGTTTTGAGGGAGTAAATGGGAAGAAAGAGAGAAAAAGGAATTGAGGTCATATGCAAGGAGTGATTATAATGAAGGACCCATAGAAATGAAAGCATCTTTGGGCCCTATGAACAGGGAAATGGTGGTAAGGTCCACAGCTTGGAAGTCTAGGTGCCATCAGAAGGTTGTCAGAGATGGTACCAGTGGGAGTACGCTGGGAATCAGAGCAAAGTAAGCTTGAAATTCTGACTTTGAGGGGATGAAGTTGTTGGTAATGACAGGTTCTAGGTTGTGGCACTGGCATGAGTGGCTGAATGGGATTGAGGAAAAATCACTGGATATGAAAAAGTAAAAGAATTGAGAGGCCCAAATGTTGCATGGGTTATTTTCATGAACATTGAAATCACCTAAAAACGATGTCAGAATTAGGGAGGAGGAGAGAGAGAGAGCAAGAGAGAGAATACATGCACACAGTGGGCTAGGTTCCAAATATCTCAAAGAATAAGTGTTGACAGGTAAGACTGCACCGTAAGGAAAGGTAGATAGTGACAGAGTCTGATGCCATGTACATTTAAAATCAATATTTTAGTAAATATGTAAATGAACATGTTAGCAACCATTGATATCTGCCAGAAGAGCAGATATATCAAATACATCTAGTTTATATATTTATAAAATGAAAGAAAACACCAGAAAACATTTATATACTTAGCAATGACACTAAAGAGCAAATTTGTATCATGACCATCAAATTACTTCTACTCTTACACAATAAATAAGAAATTTCCAAGTTTTCAGAAAGTACCTGGTAATTCTGGCATGGGAACTGTGGAGGATTAAATGAGAATGCTAATGAAGTGCTTGGAGCACAGCCTAACATATAGTAACTGCTTAATAAAAAGTCATGAGGCAGTCAAACTGAAGATGACTTCCTGTCAGGAAAAGGCTTTCACACCTGCTTTGCTACTCTTTTTTATACATTGTCTTAGATTAAAAAACAATTTTTGTATCAAAATCCCTTAACCTATACCGATTTTCCCGAATTTGTAGGCCAGATGGTTTTTAAAAAAATATTTCTGAGAAGAGTACTGTATTAAGAAATAGAAAATTGGCAGGGCGCGGTGGCTCACGCCTGTAATCTCAACACTTTGGGAGGCTGAGGTGGGCAGATCATGAGGTCAAGATATCGAGATCATCCTGGCCAACATGGTGAAACCCCCGTCACTACTAAGAATACAAAAAAATTAGCTGGGCGTGGTGGCGCACGCCTGTAGTCCCAGGTACTCAGGAGGCTGAGGCAGGAGAATTGCTTGAACCCAGGAGGCGGAGGTTGCGGTGAGCCGAGGTTGCGCCACTGCACTCCAGCCTGGCGCCTGGTGACGGAATGAGACTCTGTCTCAAAAAAAAAAAAAAATAGAAAATCTGCTCCTGAATGTTGTAAGTAGTTGGAGGTACAACAGGCTAGCAATGCTTTTATAATCATGGGGAACATATTAAGAAACTAGTCTTAATGAAGGTGGATATATTTGACTACTTAAACATGACAAAAACAAAATAAACACATCCTAAACAAAGTTAGAAAGCAAAAGACTTACCAGAAAAATTATTTGAAATATGTGGGATGGAAAAAGAATATCCCTAATATACAGAAAGGTCTTTTAAAGTAATAAGAAAAATATTAAACCATCATTTTTTAAAAGAGAATAAAATATGGATGTGAGTAACAGAAAGGCTAATGCATATATGAGAAGATATCAGAAGGAATCAAAAGAACATTTATAAAATCAACAATGCTCAGCATTACAGAGGATGCAGAAAAAGTGTCCTCTGAATCATTATTAATAGGAATGAATATTAAAATAATCTTGACTTTCTGTCTGGCAATTGTCTGTTTTATTCAAAATCTTAAATATGCATACGCTTTGACTTAGCAATTCAATTTCTAGGAATTTAGTCTAAGGATATAGGGAAACAAACAACCAAAACATCTCAGCCATAATAACAATAGAAAGATACTTTAAAATATCAATACTCATGAAAAGATACATGTAACAGATTTCTGGATGAAACAAGGATGTTACAAGGTACTATTTGTAGTTTTGATCACATTTATGTAAAAATATATGTGCTTGTATATGTACATGTAAGCATTCAAATATATATATAAAGGGGAATGTCTGACCATGTTAATGGCAATATTTTGACCAGGGAATTTCTGACCCTTTTTAGTTTCTAGCTTACGTTTTTCTTTATTGTTTAGATTGTGTATTTGCAACCCTAATGATGAGATTATCACTCTTTGGAGTCTTTGCCCTTGTATTCCACTTTGCCTAGACCATCTGTTACCTCCTTCCGTTCTCCACTCAATGCCCTCCATCAGAAAAGTCTTAATCTGCCACTGTACTTGAAATAGAATGACCACCTCTTTGTTTCGATATTTCTTTCTTTCTCTTTTCTTTTCTTTTTTTTTTTTTTGAGTTAGAGCCTCGTTCTGTCACCCAGGCTGGAGTGCAATGGTGTGACCTCTGCTCACTGCAACCTCCCCCTCCCAGGTTCAAGCAGTTCTTCTGCCTCAGCCTCTCAAGTAGCAGGGATTACAGGCATGCGCCACCATGCCTGGCTAACTTTGTATTTTTAGTAGAGACAGGGTTTCACCATGTTGGCCAGGCTAGTCTCGAACCCCTGACCTCAGGTGCTCCACCCACCTTGGCCTCCCAAAGTGATGGGATTACAGGTGTGAGCCACCATGCCCGGCCTTGTCCCTATATTTCATTTCTTTTCCCTGCGTTAGTTTTCTCAGCTATACTTCACACCATATAACATATCTTAACTTTATTTGCTTATTTATTTATTGTGTACTGTCTGACCCCTCCTTTTCTAGCAAGTGAACTCCACAAGAGCAGGACTATGTTTTGTACTAAACGGTAACCCCAGAGTTGAGAACAGTGCTGTTTTTGGCAGAAAGACACATCACCCCTCTGATATATCAGAGTGCTTCAATTTCATGATGCTAGTGATCCTATTTAGGATACGGGAGAAAAACAAACCAAAAAAATAAAAACCTCAAATATGCATTTACCTTTTTATTTCTCAGAGGCTGAACCACTTCCCTAACACACAGCTCCAGATCATTGAGATAGTCCTTTTCCGTCTGTATCAGCTCCTGGATGATCTTTTCCCGCTTTGCCATCATCCTCCTCATTTGATGCTCTTCCTCTGGGGTTGAGGTCTCAGCTATGAAACACTCACCCTGTGGAGCCATCTTTTCTGTTAAAAGAAAACATAGACAGGTGAGTCATTCTGCTGAGATTTCTTTTTCCTTCATCACAAACAATGCCTTCACAGGATTTTGTTAACAAAGAAAAAGGCTGAAGGTATCTTCATGATGTGTTCTTAGGAAGTAATACATGTACATTCTCCTACAAAACTATGAGCAAGAGTAAAAGTGGGAGCGAACAGTTTATAGCTTAGGCTATAAAGCCAGTATTCAGCCTGGAGGTAGAATGTATAAAAAAGCAGTTCAGAACTTCTGTTCACATTTGCTTTTAAATCAAGGGAAGAATTTTAATTAGTAAATGAAAGACCTCTAATTTTGTTTGTCACTGTTATTAAAAATAATTACCCCTCATTCTCAGTAGGTAATATTCAAATCCCAATGAAATGGAAAACAAATGCATGACTGGAGTTTTTCAGTTCACTATCAGAATCCATGAGGAGTGAAGCAGTGGCGGATTAAATAAATTTCAACTGAAACTTTTCATGGTTCATCTCTTATACTATGCATATCTTGTTATTTCAAAATTCTTGAACTGTCAAACAAAGTTTTAATTTAAAAAGTCGCAGTACTGGGGAGATATTGAGATAAATGGGAAGTCTCACACATAGCAGAAGTTTATATGAAGTGTTCAGGTAAGAAAGCTAAATATCTTCAGGCACAAGCTTGCCACAGCATTATAAAATTTTGGATGCCACAAACCACAGACCATGAAATCAGAGTGGCGATAAACATCAGGGCAGTGTATGAGTTCATGCATGTAAGAGTGTTTGTAAATGGATTTGCTTCAAGCTCAAAGCTTAATTTTCGTCTTAGTCTCTGCAGTTGCAAAAGTGATTATATGTCATTTAAAGTTAATATGATTCTAGCAACTGGTATGTGAGACATCTTCAATGTTGACTATTCCCTGAGAATGTAGAACTTTACAAAAGGCCTATGAAGAGACTATACAGTAAAAGATAAATACAGCTCACAATATATGCAAGTGGCAATAAAGAGTGTTTTCCAGGAACAAAGCTAAGACAACTGGAGAAACAACCTAATAGAAGAGTTAATGGTTTGATGTCAAGAGACTGCCCCAAGAATGTGAACAGACACTTTAAAAAGTAACGAGCTCTCTCTCTCTCTGGCCCACTAACTTCAGGATTCAGGCAGAGGGTCAATATTCAAACATCTGTGGAGAGTAATTCCAACATCAGTTTGGAAGCTATTCTAGATTGATCTTTGGACAATCCACACCTGTAGGTGAGTATGTTTCTGAGTCATTTGCCTCCTATCAATCCTTCCTTCATTAGGAAAGCAGGAAGTTTTGACAAATAGCATCTAAAAGCACATGGTCTTACGAAATTTGGGCTATTTAGTACTAAAGAAATAATCCACTTGAGCTATATAAGAACAGAGAATCTATTCAAGGAGAATGAATGCAAGAGATGTCGTGTAGCCCTCAAATCTTGATCTATATTATGAGAATTTGGGGGTGCATGCTAATTTTTTCTTTCAGAAACATATTCTCACTCTGTCACGCAGGCTGGAATGCTGTGGTACAATTGTAGCTCACTGCAACCTCAAACTCCTGAGCTCAAGCAATCCTCCCACCTCAGCTTCCCAAAGCACTGGGATTATAAGTGTGAGCCACTGCACCAGCCTAATTTGTTAAAATATTTTTATTGGAAAGTAGAAGAAGCCTGCCTCTCAGTGACTCAAATTTGAAAGAGCAAGTTACATTCAGGTGTCACTACGATGAATTATTTTGGATATGAAAGAGGAAGACAGGACACTTTACGAGGGGAGCGGCAGTAAGGAGGCTGTGTAAACCACCATTGTGACCCTTTCTTTTTAAAAATACATATATTCAAGATGTATAACATAATATTTTGATGTGTGTATACACAGTGAAATGACTGAGTAGGGAGTGGGAGACTGAGGACAGATAGGAATAAGGGAAGTCCTTTACTCTTCGGGTATGTGAAATAGAGCACAGGAGGAAATCTCACAAGTAGAGAAATGACAAACCAGTATGGACACCGCCCAATTATCACTTAACGTTTCCTCAAAAATTAAAACAATGCTGTTAAAAAACTGTTCTGACATTTTCTTTTCCAGTTCTAAACTTTTTATTCCTTATAAAATTAATCTATCAATTATTTGAGATCCTAGCAAGAATAAGAAAGTCTTTCCAGATTATTGGCAAAGGAATATCCCTAAAACACGCATGCGAGTTCCTTTTAATTCTAAATGCCAGGACTCAATCACTATGTTAACTTAACCTGCTTCAGATGTTTCCATTGAAGTACTTTAAAATGTACCACATCAGATTCTGTCAATTAAAAAACTGTTTAGATTTTCCAATACTGCTCAGCAACTTGTTGAGAACAAATTTGTAGGGGCAAGATGGTTGACATAAAGTATCAGTGAAAATACTCTCCAGTTATAAAAATCTCTCAGGGAATTTACAGTTGAGCAACCTTATAAGATATCTTAGTTTGCTTTTTTGACTCAAGTTTATTGTAGGAAAAAAGACTTCACTTGCATAATTTTTTGATCAGATTTCTAAACGCTTTCTATGTTTGCATTTCTTAAACCAACAAACTCTCTGCAATGCATTGTGGGCACATTTGTTTTTATAAGATCTTTCTCTGCCTTTAAAGATTTTTATCTTTTAGTTATACTTAATTTTTATATATAAAATTATTTGTAACACAACAATATCATCAACACATATCACCCAAATCAGTACTCAGCTATAGCCTGTTTTTTATTTCTGGATAAAGCAACAGAGGGGCTAAGTCTTTAGGAAAGAAGGAAAAATACATTTAGGAACAGATGTTTTCCAATAGTTTGCATATACTAAGGTACGATATCATGCCAAAGTGAAACTGAGGTTAAAGGATATTCAGATTGTTATAACAAATATGCAGGTGTATATTAAAGCAGTACCATGTAATTGACTTCACTCTCTATTTCTTTCACCCTCAATCTTTATTTTTCCAGTGGTGATGATGAATTTTTACCATTCTAGCTACCAAATTCATTGTTAATATATGTGGAGATTCCTGGCCAGGGAAGTTTATATAAAAAGAGGTTGTTGCAGTTTGGGAAAAAGATAATCTGACTTGAATCAGCTTTGCCACTCAGCTGTGAGAACTCAATAGACTAATAACTAATAGTTATCCTCACAGAGCCTTGGTTTCCCTACCTGTAAACTGTGCATGAAAACCATCACAGTGTGATCATGAAGACTGAATTAAATGAGCAGCCTCATGTGGAAGCTCCTTGATATCTTTAAAACAATACAAATGTTAAGTATTTCTGTAGCAATAGGAACAATAGGGTTATTTTCTCTATGGTCTCAAACTTTTCCACCATCTAGAGAAAACAATCATCCCATTATTTTGTAGTTACCAACTTGTCAAGAAAAATGCATGACTCTAAAGTGAGTGGAGAGCTAGTTCCCTTGGGAAAGGAAGAGGAAAAAAATAGGAATGCTGCTTTCAGAGGAAGGTCAGAACAAAGCTTGGGTTTAGAATGCTTTGACTTGGTATATGCATGGGGAGAACCTTGATCTCTTAGAGAAGTGCAACAGCACCCAAAGGCAAAGGGGTGCCGGGGGAGGACTGAAGACAATCTTCATTGATAGCCAGGTTTTGCTTGGAATTTGTCCTATCCTCTTTTTGCTTTCTTCTTGCTTTTGCTACTGCTACTGCCATTTTGGGGTGGGTTTAAGGAGAGGTGATTTCTTTTTTTCTTTTTAAATTATAAAATAATATATACTTGTGGGTATCTAAATTATATATAGATATAGAAATAGCTATAGCTATAGATACATAGATAGAGATAGATAGATAGATATAGTAGGGGTTTAAGTGCATACCTTGGGAGCCAGACTGCCTAGGTTTAAATTCCATCACTACTATTTATTAGATCTATTACCTGGAACAAGTTATTTAACTCCTCCTGTATCAATTTTTGCATCTCTAAGTTAAGGATAATGTTAATAAAGCCTTATAAACTGATTTTGAAGATTAAATTAGTTAATGTTTATAAAACACTTGCAACAGTGCCTAGTATTATAATGGATATCTTGTAAATGTTTTATTATTAGATGCAATTCCTATTTATTAATTGTATAGTAATATGATTGTTACTATATTGTTGGTTTTATTCTAGTTTAGCATATAGGCTTCTCAAAATGTCTCCATGCACATACAAATACACATATTTACAGAAGTTCAGTTTTTTGTTTGTTTTGTTTTTTAACAATAACAAGCTCATATACATATTCTTCTGCAACTCGCTTTGGCAACTTTCACAGTATATAGTGGAGATCTTTTTTGTAACAGCAGCATAGTTGTGTCAGGCACTGCTGTTGCCTGCATGGTATCTATTCTCCCATTTGTTTTTCATGAACTGAGCCATAATAGATAAAAATACTTAATTGCTGGGCAATCTTAAAATCAGAGTGGGAAAAGGGAGCATGCTCGGGAAACATATTCAGATAAAGGATCAAAAAAGGAAACACGCTCAGTAAAAATAATGCTCCAAAGTAAGCGACATCAATAAAATGATTTGTCTCAGCCTTGGTGGTGATCAATAGAAAAAAAAATAACATCTCTTAACAATTCAAGGATACTAACTGGCTCTCACATAGATTGGAGATCTGAATTTATTCAATGCTCAACAAATAATTACTAATAGCTTACTAGGAGCCCAAAATCATCCTAGGAGCTGGGGATACAGCAATTTAAAAAAACATCAAAAAACAAATTCCTTTTCTCATGGAACTTAACTTCTCATTGGGGAAGAACATAATTTAAACAAGTTATTTAGTATACTAAAATGTGGTAAGTGGAATAGAGAAAAATAATGCTATGAAAGCTGCTAGGAAGTGCTAAAAATATGTACAATTTTAAATAAGATGGCAGGAAAGGCCTGAAACTGAGTTGAAAGGTGAGAGAGTCATGTAGGTATCTGGAGTAAGTGGTTTTTCAGCAGA